TCGACCCCTCCTTCTCTGCGTAATGCTGCACTAGCCAGCTGGTACGCACTCTGATTCCAATCACGCTTTACGTGGAGTATATCGTGGGAAGTCCACGACTGAAGCTTGCTCAGAGCTCTTGCACGCAATGGAGACATCCCAGACGCTTTGCACTCGATTTCTCGGCACATCTACCGGACAACCAGATTGGAGTCTCCACAGATTATTAGTCTCCGTCTTTCCAAATATTTTAACAACTCGAACCCCAGCAACATGCTTTATATTCGGCCTCATTCACCGTAAATTCATTGAGGTATTTGGAGGCAGCGATTACTACCGACCACGTAGAAAGGATACATACGACGGCGCTACAAATCCCTCCTCCTTGTTTCACACGAGCCGATCCACCAAAGCTCAGTACATATAGCTCCTCGTCTTTTTCCACAGTAGGCGTAGGTAGATCAATCTTCTACTTCGCCTGTTTCTTGGACGCGATAGCAGATAGGATCGAGTCTACACTCTCGCGGGGGGTAATACTGGATGCTAACTCCTCCAGCACCTGATCTTCACCTTTCTTGCACTTCACAATCTCTAATATCCACTGGGACAACAGAGCGGCCCAAATTTCCAAGCACTCCTGCAATCCATAGGATTTGACCACCAGGCCAACGTCGAGTGTCTCGTTTTTACTTTGAGAGGTCGGGTGACCAGCATCGTAAAACAAGTTTCCAATATTCACAACAACGCCAGCACTTCTTTCTCCACGGTACTGCAGTTAAACTCGTTGGCTTTAAGTATCCGGCTAGTGAAGGTCACTGGCATAAATAGTCCGTCATAGTCCTGCACCAACGACGCTGAGATGGCCCATTTGCTCGTGTAGACAACAATCACCGCATCTTTTGACAGGTCGAAATGCCGCAAAATAGGCGCTGTAGTCATCTTGTTCTTGAGCACAGTGAAAGCCTCCTGAATTTGAGATCATTTCTATTCGTCTTCACCCGTGGTCACTGAGTGGTGACCATCACTCAACTTGCATCGCCACAAGTGTAAGTTCACCTCTATCAACTCGTTCAGGGCCAACGCAAAGTTAGCATAATCCTCGATTAACCTGCGGTAGTAATTTAGACTTCCGAGGAACGACTACGTGGCCTTGAGAGTTGGTGGTAGAGGTAGGTTGACTAGTGCTTGGAGGTCCTTGGGGTGGGCTTCCAATCCTTCTCTGGATACCCGGTGACCGAGTTAGTCGACTCTTCGATATCCCCACAAACTTTTGATTGCACTGATTCACAAATTCCAGTAGTCGCATACGTCCAACAATCGCTACACCTTGTTGCATAACACTTTCCAAGATTCAGCAGGTATAATTATGTCATCTATGTAAGACCGACAACCCAATATCGAGGAGCCTGACTCTGTGTCTGGTTCCCCGATGCGAACAAATCTGCTGGCTCATCCAATGTTGTTCCCGGAGGTATACGTAAGAACATATATAACGCTTTTTCCAAAAGTCGCTGATAGATCTGTGGTGCATTCTTGAGTCCGAATGGCATCCGCAGCCATTCGAACAGTCCCAACGGTGTGAAAAAAGCTGAAATCAACCTTGCCCTCTCCGTCATGCTGACCACCCAAAAATCACTTGCCGTATCGAGAGAGCAGTGCTACAACGCACTATCCAAGTCTTCTAGTATCTCTTTACTCAGTGGCATGGGGTAGACCATGAGTTGATTCAGGCCGTTTACCAACTGGTAATCAGTGCACAACCTGATGTCTACCCCATTCTTCTTCACGATAACTACTATTAGGCTGGCTTACGGCGAGGTAGACGGTTGAATAATCTTCGCTGACAGTAGACCCTTGATTAGGCAGGCCAACTTTTCTTTGAACTGAGGGACTACCTTTCTCACGCGTTGTGCAATCGGTCTTGCATTTCTCACGTCGATGTCGCATATGGCACCACGAGCGTCTGGTGATAAGGCGTAGCTTTTTCCCTTTAGCAGATGTCGCTTCTTCCATATGACTTGCCTCAATTGATCCAACTCTTCAGGCGTGTTCCCATCCTGATCAGGGATCTGCATGTCCTTCAACTCGATGCCTTCGGGCGAGCGGTCTACTTCTGGTATTACTGCCCATCCTTGGCTGGTTTATTCGGCCCAGAGTTCTCCGCTCTCACAAGTGCACACTTGGTCGTCAGCTTGTGCTAGGTCCTCGTGTTTCGTTCTTGCTTCGGGGACTCCGGCTTCCAAAGGCTGAGTGACCGTAACTTTCATCAGTCGAGTGACGGCGGCTTTTAAAGGTTGGGCTACGGCGGCTTTTTTCATGTTGGTAATTCCTCCACTGGCAGCCGTTAAGGAGAAACGTTCATCACCGGGTGATCCTTTGCGATCACTGCAGAATATGTAATGGGGTATCATACTGGGGTTTGTCCACTAATGTCACCTCGCCTTCCTCCATCTGGTCCAACGGATGGCCTTTCTGATCGGTGGTAGCTTCGTATGCCAAATTCCACCACTCGGCGTATCTTCGAGAGCCCACAGTGACGAACCCGAGTGTCCTAGGTATTTGATCCTTCGCTAGTAACATTCCAATCCTGGTGTCGTTATGTGGACTTAGAAACTGTGTGCTGACATTGGTCATATTCAAGAATTGACGTCGGCCTACCCCTCGGATCACCGTAGTGACACACCGTTCGCCTCTCGTCACTCATAGCTCAATCTGCTCCAACTTCGATCTTTTTAGCGGTACTTCCACATACCCTCCACCACGTAACTGTGCGAATTGGCCCAGCTTCACGTCCGTCAATCTGCCACCGTAAAGCGTTCTTCGGCCGGACTATTGTATACGAACTTCATCCAGGAGACAGAGTGCTCCAAACCCCAGATCTAAGCGGAGCCAGCGAGGACCATGAATTCCATCCCCAAAATTACATTTTGGCCTTCCATCGTCCCGACCCATACCTTGAAGGTATACACCAAGTTTCCGTTCAGGGTGAACTTGATACGAGTGCGTCCTTCTGTGGTATATATTGACTCTCAAATACTGACACATTCTTGTCTTGCACTTTCATCGATATGGCAACCTACCTTACGAGCAAAGGCGATATCCAAAATGGATGTCTTGGCACCAATATCAAACGACAAGTTTGCGCGATCGTTACTGCATTTTCCAGAGGCCTTGGCATGCTTGAACCACTTCGAAGGAGCATGGTTTTCCAATAGCCCCTGTATTCGCCTGGTAGTAGGTCCAATTCCATTGCCGCATCTCCTCGAGCAAAGCCGTTGGGGTCATTAGGGCAAGCAATATGAACCACAGGGTAGCTTCCAATCTTTGATATATTCCCAATCTTCTTAATTGCGGTATCTTCCTTGCAACTCTTTTCTTCCTGTGGTGCCTATATCTTCTTCGAATCGCTTTTCCGCATATGCAAAGACAAGATAATTAGAATGCTCGGCCGCACCAGATTCAAACCTGGCAAGCGCTCTAATTTGTCATCTTCTCTGTCTTCTCCGGAAACATCCCGGCGTGCTTGTTTGGGTTGTACCATTGACGGATTAAGTTATAAAACTCTTCCATCTGGCACTTTCTAGCCTCGTGGGCATCTTCACACCCCCTTCACACAAACAAACAACGATCAGTTGGGTGACACCTTTTCCCATAGCGGTCACAATGAGTCGTTTCCAGTAACTTGAATATCCATGCTTTTGAGATCGACAGTGAGCAAACTTCTGGTGTTTAGAGGACAAAGTCGGGCGAGATCCCTGGTCACCTTCATGGTGACGGTGATGGTGACGGTGATGGTGACGGTGATGGTTGGCCTCCCGAATGGGTCGGCCTCTTGGATCTTCGCACCTGTGTCCCTCTGTCCTTCCATCGCCATCAAGTGAATTCGCCTCAGGTCACCTTTTTCACTTGAGCCGTCCGAGCTCAAATTTTCCGAACTCGAACCTTCCATGTTCTCCCTAACTGCATGTAACTACCGGCAGTTTAGTTCTCTTGGTCGGTCGGGTGATACGGGTGCCTTTTGTCGAAATTGATTGATACAAAGAGTACCTTACCTCGCCGCGCTTCCATCCTCTGCCTGTTTCTCAGCACGTCTTCCAATTAGTCCACATCCGCCAGACGCAATATCGTGAGCTAGTCCGCCAGTTTCGGTTCGTCTAAAGTCTCGATGTAGTGCTGGAACTGTTCCTTTTGTACCTTGGGCGGTCCGTCCTTGATCTTGATCTTCGCCCTGAGTCCAATCACATTGAGTAGGTACAGGTAGTCCAATGGTGACTCATCTGACCTCTTCTTCGCATGGTAGTATTGGCGATGAACTGGCGCTTCCAAACCGCAGAACTGCATCTGGAACTCTTGTAGGAGATCCTTCCAGCTTGATCGAGCGGAGCGACCCAGTTGGCGATACCACTTTTGAGCTGGTCCAGTTAGCAATCCACCGAAGACAAGATACTTTTCATCTTCGGGCGCTTGATCTCTCGTGAACGCGGTTTTCACCGCGGTCGATCAACTGCGTGCTCGGTCCTCGTCTTGATCATTTCCGTGGAAATCCTTGAGGTCCGATGTAGCTGCAAGTTCAATGCGAGGGACCATGTTGGGCATTTGTCCTACTGTAGCTGTCGCCATCCTCGCCAGTGGTCCCTTCAAGTACATGTCATCTGGGTCGTACTCACACGTACCGACTGATTCCATCTCCACGTCAGTCATAGTACGCTGTTTTAAAGCTTGCGCTCGAATTCTTGGTGTTTGTTGAGCCTCTGTTACCTGCGCCCTTTGTGCCTCTGCGGTCGCCCTTCCATCTTGGTATCCTTGTTGTACCTGGCGTTCCTGTAGAAATCGTGCCATTGCCGCGTCAAAGTATGTCTGCAAGTTACATACCTTGTTGGTAGGCACATCACACCATCATCTTTGTCACGTGGTGGTGCAGAGTTTCGGTAAAGACCGTGCTATGTTCCCATTGGGTGAAAATTCACCCTATCAGGCGCTTGGATGTTTAAGTAGACACGTGTCGGTGTTTCGTGATCATATTAATTGGTCGCTCCGCCCCTTGCACAATCCTGGAGCATCGCTGCTCCTGCCGGTCCCAGTGGCATTTGGTCGTACTGGTCAAGAGCAGACGAACAGGGTGACGACCGCTCATCCGCATCTTGGATCCCTGGCGGGAGATTCGCTGGTGGGGGACGGCGCGTCACCTTCGGTTTGTCGAGCTGTGGTCGTGCTTGGGGTTGGGTTACGAAGTCTTGGAGCTTCATCTGTCTGTCGCTAGACGGCATCGGTATTGGTTGCGCTGGTGATACGTTATTATGTCTGGTGGCGGTCCCAACCAGACTCGCCAATCGCTTGTGCAACTTCTCCAACATGCTCTTGATGCTTTTGAAACCTAGGTCGGACAAAGTGCTTAGCTCGAACTTCCCTGCAGCCACTTTTGCCTCGCGGAGGAGGGTTACCAGCGCAGTGACCGCCTCTATGACCGTCCGGAGGCGCGGTAGGGGTGACACCAGTCCCTCTAGTATCCCAAGCAGATTAATCTGAAGGACTTTCATGACAGGGTCGTTTGCCAAGAGGGTTTCCAGCTTGCGCCGGTGGTAGGCGATCGTCACAGCATCGTCCGACCAGGCTGGCGGTCCGGCTTGGGCAGGGCCCACCGACTTGGTATCCACCGGCGTCTTCGTGTTTTTCGGCTTTTACTTAGCGGTCTTAGGGGTCTTTGGTGTCGGGGACCATAGCTTTCCAGATTGCATCTTCGGCCGTTGATCCGACTCCGTCGGTGGTCCTAAGGTGTTTTTCTTCAATATTTTCAACCTTGAACATGTTGACCGGACCCCTCCCAAGGTCCGGTCGGTCCTTCGACTCTTTGTTTTTGTATTCTAGTGTCACTGGTGGTCGGTCTTCCAGTGGTTCATCGGTCTTCGGTTCTAACGTGAACTTGACACCTTCATCTTCTTGGGACTCGCGGTGATATCCCGCGTCTTCCAAAGGTCCGGGCACGCGCACCATTGTGGTGGAGTGGGTTCTCAAAACTGCGTAATGAGACCCCAAGCCACTCACTTTGCCGGACTGCAGTGTCGGAGGGGGTTCCCCGATGCTTTTTGTGGAACTTGACTCACCTTGTGTACCCGTAGGCTTGGCGGGTTTGACTTTTTGGAAGACTTGGTGATGATGTAGACGTCGGCCTTGCTTGGGGTCGACATGGGGGGGGGGCCCGAGCGGATATGCTTCATTCGGGGTCCAATGTAGGCGGACACTCGATCGACTTGGTCGAGAGTGGTCTTATAACCAGTTGTCTCAGGTGGTGGCGCCTGGGTTTTACTTGTCTCAGGGGTGTTATCTGCCTGGCCTTTAGGTGTCTTCATTCTTACCACTAGGGTATGGAGGCCGCTCCCTATAGCGGGATTGAGTGGGGGGTTGCTTCTCTATAAACCCACACGCCAATGATCTTCCTGGAGTTACATGCACCCTTTTGACCTACTGACAACTGTCTTTTTGATGGGTGGTACAAACTGATCCCTGGCCCGGAACAGATCGGTGGACTCACAATTTTCTTAGCGCACGACACATCGTGCTACTTGGATGGCAATTTGAGCATTATTTAAATTTCCTCTCCCTTCAACTCCTTTACTCTATCCTTGCTTACACCTGAGTTCGATTTGATGAGTGGCCAGAAGCCACCAGACCTTCAGAGACCTTGGGAGGCCAAGTCGACCTATTGGTGACCAGGTCGGCCTACAGTTGGACACCCATCGGCCTACGGGTGACCGACGTCCACCTTGGGCGACCAGGCCGACAGTCGAGTGGTTGAGAACGATCGATACCGTACTGGTTAATTGGTCTTGTTGTTCGGTTTGATCTCGTTAGCAGTAACCTTAGCCGCTCGTCACGATTGGACCCAACGGCCACTCCTTACCTGTGACCTTCAAGTCTCTATTCCCCTTCTCGGCCACGAGGTCCCATGTCCGTCCGGGTCATCTACTCGTAGCCCATCACTTTCAAATACTTGCTTTATCACGAAAGCGCTAATTGTTGATGCTTTAGTGTGCCTTCTCGGACGTTGTCCACCACTTCTGATGTCTTATTATCTTCTAAAGCCGCCATTATGGCATTTCCTGCACCGTTTCTGACGTAATTATCTGGTACAAAGAACTGTATCGATCACAATGCAGTACATTTTGACGTCGGACGCGACGGATCCGTCACTGCGCCAAGCAATCACGCGCTTCTCGCCTTTGTAGACAAGATAAATTCCTTCCTTTAAACTTGCCAAACTATATGATGTTATTCGCCAGTCGTGGCGCCAGGTACACGTATTTCAGTGACATGATGCTCTCAACACTGCGTGATGTTACCTTCAGCCGCACACTACCGACTCGCGTCAGGTGCAGAGGATCGCCATTGGGCATGAAGATCACGTGGATTCGGGTAGCACATTTTTTTGTGAAGTGCCTTCAGTAAAAGATGACAATTTGCGCCGCTGTCGACGATCCAGTCACCTCAATCAATGATTACTTTGTAACTGATCGCGATGACCATCGTGCCCTTAGTCTATTATTTGGATTTACTTACGCTGCTCACCCTCTCGTCTTATTTGTGGTTAGCGCTAGAATAAGGATAACGGCTGCCGCCTCATCCATTAACATCAATCGCATTGCCACTAATGCCTATTCTTTTCTAGCGACACTAAGATTGCAAATGTCTGACTTTCCCGCAGCCATTGTAAGTGCGTCTTTCTTTTGCCTCTTTATTGACGTGCTAAGGGACGACTTTGCGTCCCACTGCATTGATGCCGAGATCGATTGACTGTGCAAAATGCGTCGGCTCTTCGGTGTGGTGCAGGAAGTCAATACGCGAGAGGTCTTATTTGGTGCGTAAAAGATTTATCAGCTCGGGGGGGGGTGCGTAGTGTACGATGTTGTCCGACACCCGCAAATGCTCACCAGCGCGCTTCGCTCACAGATACCATGTAGGGAATGTGCTCAGCCCGTAAAAGCTTCAAGATCATTTCTGCAGGTTATCTTCATCTCATGGCTATCCGTGATCGTTGTCTAAAATTTTAAAAGCAGCCGATTCATGAAGTAGTCGAGTATCGGCCTCTAGTTTCACCATGTTTCCATCTGCTTGTGTAAAAATCGTCCAGGTGTTCCGCTGAGGTGTTAGCCGAACAGGTCTACCTTGACGCCCTCACTCCACGTAAAGCTGCAAGATGACTCAGCCATGTTGACGGGATGCAGTTAAGTGCAACCGAATAAAAAAAAACTGGAATAGAGTCCTTGTAGAGCCCATTTCATCAAATTTTTGTATCGGCAGCTCATGCTGGCTTGCATTCGGCGTCACAGAGAGTACTGCCTCAGCTTAAGCGTGATATGCAGGTAGTGCAATTCTTCGATGAGGTTCTGCTTTAGAACTGGAACTTGGTCATTCACACATTAACATAGCAGCTATTGGGCGCGTGGAGGCGCAAGCGACGCAAACATTAACTTTTTAAACTCAGGCATGCGCGGCAATCGTCCAGCATTAAGCGCGTCGGTCGGCAAGCAAAGATGCGAAGGTGCGGTTCTCGACAGCGTCCAAAATTTGATCACTTTCATCGCTCTCGCGCTGCGAAGACCCCATCTTCTCCATGTGGTCTGTCAGGTTGGTAAGTGTCGCGAGAATCAGAAGTTAGTAGCCGAGCTCCTTTCGTGAGCTGGCATGCTCTGACGACTGTGGCAGCGCGTGCTATCGAGGCCCTTGCGTGGACTTCCGTTGATTGTGCGGGGGTCAATTGAAAAATATTTCCTTCCCTGTTTGCCCCTAAATTTCAGATTTAATTTTGCCAAAAAGATTTATCGCAACGAATTCCTCGCAACCGATACATCCGGAATACTGCCTGAGCTTAGCATTTTACATACCTTACACTCCTGAGGCTCACACCAATGGGTGAATTTTGGCGTTTTACGCGTTTACAGGTAAACGGGCACATTAGAAGCCCGACTAGAAGAATCAGGGTGTACTGGCTCGTCACTGGACGAGTCTTAAATCAGTTTTATCTATTGAATGACTAGCTCGTCGCTTAAAGAGGCGAAAAACGGTGCTGTTTGGTATTTCACCGGCCAGTCTTGCGACGAGAATGAAACGTACCTATTATTGGGCTTTTAGATCGCCGTGCATTGAGACATAAAAAATTGTCAACTATTAGGCTACGTGCTTGTCGCTCCACTAGTCTAGAAATTAGTGCCATCTATTGGGTTGCTGTTCAGTGGTTGACCGGATTTTTTCTTCTTCTATAGTAAGTGTCAAACACTTAGGGAGAACTTATCTTGGCGCTTCCAATTGAAACAATAAAAAGAAAAGCCATTTGAGGTTCGACGGCAGGCATAATCCAATTCAAGCAGGGGACTCATCAATCGAGTATGAGCTAGACCAAACTAAAAAAAATTAGGCTCTGTAATCAATTATCTCTTTTTGTGCTAGGTGGATTCATAATAAGTGGCTCCCATTCTTTATCCTACCTCTCCTGTACAATAGTGACTTGAACGGTCGATCATCCAGCTGCTTCGCTGGATCTGGACTCGACGAGACCTAAATCGACGTGCTATAAATTGACGAGCTTAAACTCAACGAGAATAAACTCGACAAGTAACAGCTTGATAACTTCCGAATTTCTTAATCTGCCTGTAGGAGACATACGTGGTAAAAAAATACACCACACAAGCCAGTCGTTCACCTGTTTGCAAACATGCTATCTTGACTGAAGTAAACAATAGGATAAGGTGTATTAATTCATTTTTTGACTGCCTGTCTTCTAACCTCTTTTTCTCTTAAATTCTCAGTGCTCCAACCTTTTCAGAATATAGGGTTGTGTGGTGAAGCGAGTATTCGAAAGTGATGGGCTACGAGTAGATGACCCGGACGGACATGGGACCTCGTGGCCGAGAAGGGGAATAGAGACTTGAAGGTCACAGGTAAGGAGCGGCCGTTGGATCCAATCGTGACGAGCGGCTAAGGTTACTGCTAACGAGATCAAACCGAACAACAAGACCAATTAACCAGTACGGTATCGATCGTTCTCAACCACTCGACTGTCGGCCTGGTCGCCCAAGGTGGACGTCGGTCACCCGTAGGCCGATGGGTGTCCAACTGTAGGCCGACCTGGTCACCAATAGGTCGACTTGGCCTCCCAAGGTCTCTGAAGGTCTGGTGGCTTCTGGCCACTCATCAAATCGAACCCAGGTGTAAGCAAGGATAGAGTAAAGGAGTTGAAGGGAGAGGAAATTTAAATAATGCTCAAATTGCCATCCAAGTAGCACGATGTGTCGTGCGCTAAGAAAATTATGAGTCCACCGATCTGTTCCGGGCCAGGGATCTGTTTGTACCACCCGTCAAATAGACTGTTGTCAGTAGGACAAAAGGGTAAGTATAACCCCAGGAAGATCATTGGCCTGTGGGTTTGCAGAGTAGCAACCCCCCACTCAATCCCGCTATAGGAAGCGGCCTCCATACCCTAGTTGTAACGGGATGAATCGTTGCACGACAATTTACTATACATTGTTAATAGAATATAACTGTAAGAGTTCTATTCACAGAATATTGTCATAAGGACAAATATTCTGCAGCACTTGCGAGTAGTTTCTAATTGGTTGATATAGGCCATTACATCAACCAACGAAGACGCGCCACGACAGACGCACGCAATGAGTGGTGAGCAGATAGTTGATATGCAGATTTGTAGTCAGACATGGTTAGATGAAGATAAATAGTGATTTGTTGCAGACATTAACTATACTAAATACAGTTCTACTTTTTACTTTGACCAAGTACTCGCTTCTCCTTACCGTCTTCCTCTGCACGTACGAGTGTACGTGAAGTTCCGAGGCACCGCCTTTTTCCGTCATCAGAATAAGTAGCTTGTACTGTCACCAGTACAAGCTTCAGGGTGCTCCGTTACACCTGGTAGCACTTCGTAGTCCGTCCAAGGACCACGTTCACATCTAACATGAATATGTTGGATGATGAAGATGACC